CGGAGCGCGTCGCCCCGCTGCTCGAGGGCGTCTGGTGGTGCAGAACCCCAGCCTCCCCCCACTAAAACATCCATCACTCCCTGCCGTCACTGAAAGGGAGGCCAGAGTGCGAGAGGTTTCCCCCTCCTTTCTGCCCTTCCAGAGAGACTGTCCTGCTCCCCGAGGTGTTCCAGCTCCCGCAAATAACGGTGCGGGCAGCTCTGTGCCCGCTGGGGTGGCTGCGGTGCTGTCTGCCCTCTCTCTGCTCCTAGGTCCCTCCAGCAGCGCCCTGCTTGGCCAGGGAGAGCACCTGGGGCAGGGGGAGCTGGGACACTTCCCTGTGAAGGTAACGGGGGGCTTTGGTGCTCCCGGGAGGCTGCACGAGCGGCGGGACCTTAGCCCTGCTTTGGAGGGTTGCCGTTCTCACAGTTAGTAAGAAAAAGTGGGGTAAGATGTAGAAATACCACAGTCTTGCCTAGGAGTTCTTTTCTTCTATTATTGTTTTAAATCATTGTTATTTGCAAGTGCGTGATTCTAAATTGCTGTCAGTGTGAGATGTGAGTTGGAGCAGGTGCTCTCTGACTCTTGAACTGGCCTCTCAGCAAAACTTGTATCGATTACCTGGGTTGCAGGCAATGTGAGACGGGAACAGTGTGTGCCCATGGTCGGTGCATTTTGTGATGGAGAGTTTTGGTCCAGGCCCTTGCGTGCACTTCAAGGTTGAAGCCAGGTGGCACATGTGTGTCCATCACTCGAGCTACGTGCAGTCTCTGCATGAGGGGGAGAAGGGCAAAATAAAGGAGAGGGAGGTGGTAAATGTTGATCTCCTGTCTGCTAAATGCAGTGAGTATTCACGAGTCAGAGCAGTTTATGTACTGTAAGAGAACCAAGTGCAGCTTCTGTTAAATAATGCAAAAAAGGATATTTTTAATAGTTTCAGAGTAGCTGTATGATGTAAAGAAAATTTCCTCCTGCGCAGTGGTAGGTTGTTTTGCCTTTGCTCAACTTCTGATAGTAGAGGGACTTTTCCTTTCTGTGCTTGTTAATTCTGATAGTACAGGGCAACAAACATATACGTGAGGAAGATACTGTTTTATGGCCTTGGATGAGTTGCTGGCTTATACTGTGAAAGAAAAGCTTATCATGCTGGTTGAATGGTACATCTAGCTGGAGGCTAAAAATGAAAAGATTTCCTTCTGCTTCTGTTTTATTGCATGTAGAATAAACCACTGTTTCCACTTGCTAAGCCAATTACTTCTGTTGGATTCCCCTTTTCCCCACTGGAGTGGGAATGCTTGTGGCTATCTGCGATGGACTCACTCTCAATGTGTCGAGATGCGAGAGGAATCATGTTTTGATTGTGAGGAAATAATGTGTATTTGAGGGGAGAGTTTATATATATATTTTTATCAGATAGAAGCACCATGTAGAACTCTGCAGTGTAAAAAATGGTTCATTTTTTCTGACCAAATTTAAGTGTGTGTACCTTACCATATGCACCATTGTTCAGGTGCATGATTCTCAGTCTTAAGCTGAGAAGGTGGGGAGGGAGAAATAAATACAAAATATTTTTTTAAAAAATGCGCCGATTTTTTTCTGCTGATGCTGTTTTGATTCTTCAGTTTTATCTTTTTAAGTTTTACAGAACATAAGAGATTTTGATTTGGGATTTAGGAGTTAAGTTTCTAGGATATAGAAGCTTCAAGAAGTTTTGAAGAAGCTTATGTGTGTGGTGTTTTTTTTGGTGTGTGTGTGTGTGTGTGTTTTTTTTTTTTTTTTTTTTTTTTTTTCTTCTCCCTGCTTACCCCCAGGTGGTTGTTCTAGTCATCTTTGAGCTCCAGGTATCACAGCTCATTTGAATTAGGGTCAAAGAGGGAGGAAATGAGTATATGTGTTTCTGGGGGGTGTGGGAATTGTCTGCACCCCCCCACACTGGGGGGTGTGGGAATTGATGTGTTTCTGGGGGGTGTGGGAATTGTGTCTGCATCTTATGGAACTGCTTACAGATAACTTGGACTTTAAAGTTTAGTTTGACTTGTTTTAAGTTCTTCACTACAAAAGCAAGTTGGAATCAAGCTTTTCGAAAAGTCATCTTGACCCATTTCTCTCAACTGTTTTAATGTCTTAGGAGATACGTTTGAGTTTGGGTATTTTTATCAGCATTTGTTCTCAAGTTTCTGGTTAGCAGATTGCTGAGAATGTAGGGCTGTGAAATCAAAACAAGCTAATGCTATTATGTGTGAAGATAGTCTGTCTGCTCATGAGAGGGAAGAAGTGCATGAAGAGGTAAGTGGTAATATCAGGGAAGCTCCCTTGTAATGGTGCATCCTGAAAGGATCACCTATGTCTGATTGCTGCTAAGAAGATAAAGCTTCATGCATTTTATTTCTAAGTCCAAGTAAAATAATACAAGCATCCTATTAAAGTGCAATGCAATAAAGCAGCATGGCAAAATCTTGCTTCAAAGTGCTGAAGCTGGATTTGATCCAAGATTTGTCTCTCTATGTACTTCTCTGTTCCCATCTCTTTCAAGCAGTGGCAATGATTAAAGATTGTATCTCTGGACCCTTTTAAGTATATGAAGTATAAAACTGGCTGATGCGGATATTTCCTGCACTGCGAGACAGGAGTGAGAGTCAATGAGCCTGAAAGTGGACCTGCTGCACACATAGGAGAATAAGGGCTATATGGTGAATACAAAAAGTTTTTGCTTCCCTTCAAGGGCAGATGTTCATGGCAAGGAAATAAGCTTTTGAGGGTGTATTAGGAGCCTGGGAAACAAGAAATTTCTCATACCTGCCCTGTTGCAGGATGAGCTGTTTAATCCATTGGGGATATGGATATCTCTGAAGCATGCCCTGCATCTGCCATGCTGTCAACCACCAGGTACTAGCCCAGAATACAGCGTGCTTGTAAGAATCTTCCATTGTGCCTAAGCACTGAATTTCTCGAGCCTTGGGCATCACTAAAAATGTTAAATGGCTGCTTCTAACACCAGTCCTGTCACTAACTTGAAACCAAATTCAGAGGAATAAAATATACCACAAGTGTCAGGTGGTTTTGGAATTCTTGTTTGGGATTGCAGGCTTAAGATGTGATCTTGGTTATGATCATTGCTGCAAAGTGGTATGAGAGCTACTGGTGCTTTGGCTGTCCTCACATTTGAGTTATATATTTTGGAATAATAGGATGCCATAATTGTGACACTTTGAGGATATTACAGCTATACCTAAGAAGTAAGAAACCAAAGGCAATAAGTTTACATTATCTTCTGACTATAGTATCTGATTTTGGCAGGTCAATACTGAGAACTGATAAAGACATATTTTGAATATCTGTGAAAGTTATGAAAGTAAATATTTCTGTGTGAATATTTTTCTTGCTTGTGATTACTGATACTGAAAGGATGTCATGGATTGTCCTGTCAACTTGATATGTATGAAACTTTTCTATCACATGTCTCCGATCCAGCTTAGCAGGGCTCATAACAGATGAAAAGTACTGGGAAAGGAACTTATAAAGGAAAAGATGACATGTATTGCTCTCTATGGAGCACAGTCTTTTATTTGTTGGCGTGTAGTCTTAAATTTGTTAGAGGAAGCTGGGGGAAAGGGAATGGAGGTGATGGGAAGAGTATCAGGGAACAGGGAATCGCTATTCCTTTCCCAGTGTTTCAGCTGAATGTCAGGGGCGGGATGAGGCTATGCACTCATTGAGTTCTTTCGCAAGATACATGCTTGCATAGCTGAGGGTAGAGGCAGGCTTGTAAGTGGTTTCTTAGAAAGCAATACTGATGCTGGTTGAATTGACTGGGAGTCAAAATATCTTGTGCTTGTGTTAGAAAATATTATAATTTTAACAATTTTGCAGAGCTGCTTAAGTTCTAGTGTGATTCTGTGTTTCTTTCCTATATAATCAGTTTGTGAAGTGCTTGTGTACTTTGCTGGTTTCTCTAAATAGAAAGCCACCAGTATCTAAAGCTATTGCTGCCAAAATAAGCTTTTACCTTTAACTCAACAGGTCTGGTATTGCTTGTGTTTCTAATGATTTAGTGTTTCCTCTGACAGCAGTCTAGTTGTAGAGCAAAGTAACCTTGTTTGAAATCTCTATGCAGTAATCTATGGTCTTGCACTGTTCCCAGTTGCTTGGGAGAGAATAAGGTTTCTATGAAGCCTGCAGATAAAATGGGTGTTATTGCTGCTCATACTTCTGGCTGTCCAGTCTGATCGATGCTGGTTAGGTATAAAGCTGGAGACCTTGATAGTACCGTAGGTTACTGTATTTGTAGAATAAGAAGATATTGTTTGAAGCATTACACATTTCAAAACTGTAACTGTAAACACAAGAACATCAACATCCTGAGCTGCAAGAACTCAGACCTGAAGTCAGAGCTCCTGTGTAAGGAGGGAAATAGACCTTACTGTCTAGCCAAAAGCAAAAACCAAAGTGTGATAAATACAGCATGTAACATCCCTGCTTGTGTGCTCAGTGCTAATTCCAGAATGTATTTGATCTTCTTAGCAGAAAACTAGTCTTGAAATTCCTAATGAAATAAAATTAAAAACAGGAGTAAGCTGAATTGAATAAAGTATTCACAGTTTCAATTTCTAGGTTTTTAAATCACTTCTGGTATTTTGGGGGCACATTTATACATAAAATGGAGTTGCAACATTATCAAAATCTTTTATCTGTTTTTTAAATTGTAAGTGTTGAGCAAATTTTTTTTTTGCTGAAAACTTTCAGTAATGCCTTATTTGGGAATGTTTTCCTCCTCCCCCCCCAAGCTGAGTGCATGTTTATGTACTTTGAATTGGGTCTTTATAGTGAAACTGTGTGTGTTTCAGCAATAACAGCACTTGGCAATAGCTTGTTTATATTTTGTTATTAAAGTTAGAACATGTTTCCTTAAAAGTGCAAAACTAATGCTTGAAAAATCAGGTAATTCAAGCTGGCTCTGTGGAACTCCTGATAGGGGATACTGCTTAATGCATCACTTGATGATCTTAAAATTGCCTATGAAACTTAACTGTGGTAGGGACAGTAGAAATAGTACTGTTTTGGGTCCCTAGTAGGGTTAAGAAAAGGAGTGTGCTCAGTGATACAAATGTAGGCCTGCATTAAGTGAAGGACTTCTTGTTTGTATTTCAGACAAATTTATTGTATTGTCTGCAGCTTTCTAGGGTGGTAGTTGCATGTTTCATTTGGAGAATGAAAAATATTGTGTAATGTGCATTACTTGATTTTATAGAGGAAACCAGATAAAGTTGACACATTGATCAAGTGGACTTCCCAAAGATGAGACTGAAGAATATATTTGTACCATTTTGGTAACTAGTTATGTAAAAT